CTAACATCTAAGCTTAATCTTCAACACTAAACTAAAGATGTGCTATTGGAATGCCAATGGCTTAACCAATCATTTCCATGAAGTTAAAGCATTTAGTTACTCCCATAATTTAGATGTTATGTTTATTTCCGAAGCACACATGACTAATAAGAGCCATTTCTATATTCTCAAATATTTAACCTATGTAACTAATCATCCCTTAGGTAAAGCCCACGGAGTTACGGCAATTATTATAAGAAACAACATTAAGCATCATGAAATAAATAAAATTAGTAAAGTTAACATTCAAGCCACATCAATGTCGGTCGAAGATTCACAAGGTCCGATTATTCTATCTGCTGTTTACTGTCCATCGAATAAAATAATTCAAGCTGATCATTTTACTGAATACTTTAAGATGCTCGGACACCGTTTCATTACTGCTGGAGATTTTAATGCCAAACATCATAAATGGAGTTCCAGAATCATAACCGCACTTGGACGAGAATTATTAAAAAGTATTAATGAGAATTATTTAATTCCTTTCTCTACTGGAGATACTACGTATTGGCCCACCGATAGACAAAAAATTCCTGATCTTATTGATTTTGCTATAGTAAAAGGAATATCACATACCTATTTCCAAATTTCTCCTTCATTCGACCTTTCATCAGATCATTCCCCTTTCTTCATAGATCTACATAGCCAAATTCAGAACTGTCCTAAATACCTAACACTCTCTAATAAAAGAACAAACTGGAACAGATATAGAGAAGAAATAAAAACAACCATTAACCTAAACTTGCCTCTTAAAAGTGATAGCGACATAGAAAATGCAGTTGCTCACCTAACTACAGTTATTCAGCAAGCTGCTTGGACGTTTACCCCAGAATTTACTAACAAACACAACTCTGAGTCCTATCCTGCTCACATCAATTTACTCATATTAGAAAAAAGAAAACTGCGAAAGAAGTGGCAGCTCACCAGACATTCAGAAGATAAAGCAAATCTTAATAAAGCTTGCAGACTGCTCAAAAGAAAACTGATCCAATATAAAGACAATGGAATCAACAAATATTTAAAGAACCTCTCACATGCAGATGATACAAACTATTCGCTGTTGAAACTAACAAAAAAACTTAAACACAATGATCAAATGAATATGCCAATCAGGAAACAAAATGGCAGTTGGGCTAAAACTGACATAGATATAGCATATACATAGGTATTTCAACCGCATCAGAGGGAAGTCTCAGTTGAAGAAGAAAGAGCAGGCTATTCATGAAATCGTAAATGCACCATATCAAATGGCTTTACCTATTAAATCTATTAGGAAATCAGAGATCAAAGAAATAATTAATAATCTGGAAAATAAAAAGTCACCTGGATATGACTTAATATCTAGTTTAGTACTAAAAAATCTACCCAACGAAGGCGTAAGTTTAATTAATTACATATTTAATTCAATATTAAAAACAGGTTATTTTACACTCCAATGGAAAGTTGCTCAAATTATTCTTATTCCAAAACCTAATAAAGATCACACGGAAGTATCTTCATATCGCCCAATTAGCTTGTTGCCTATTATATCCAAAGTATTTGAAAGGCTTTTTCTGAGAAGACTGGAGATTATTTAATATGACAGTAATGTTATACCGAATTATCAATTTGGGTTTAGAAAACAACATGGTACTATCGAGCAAATTCATAGGGTGGTAAAGTCTATCAGAAATTCGCTCGAACAAAAAAATTACTGTACTGCTGCATTTCCAGATGTCTCTCAAGCATTCGACAAAGTTTGTAGGTCTTATCTCTAAAATTAAATCCATATTTTCTCATCGTATAAGCTCACTTGTAAGATCCTACCTGACAGATTGATTCTTTCTTTGTCAAAAGAGGTGGGGAAATCACTAACCTGTTTCCAATTTGTTCTGGAGTTCCACAAGGAAGCATACTAGGACCGATCCTCTACTTAATATAGACATCAGATCTTCCAACGACGACCAATACAACAATCGCTACATATGCTGATGACACAGTTATCATGGCTTCAAATTCTACAGCAACTGAAACATCCCAGGTATTACAAAACCACCTACTTAAACTAGAGAGCTGACTAAACTGTGGCGAGTCTAAGTTAACAGTTTAAAATCAACACAAATAACACTTACTTTAAAAAAAGGTGTCGCGCCACCAGTTTCTATAAAAAACACTCTACTACCAGTTAATACCGTCGTTAAATACTTGGGAATTCATTTGGACAGCAAACTTAATTGGAGTATTCACATCTGGAAGAAACGGCATCAACTCAACTTAATCTACAGGAAAATTTATTGGTACATGATAAAATCTAACCTAAGCCTGGAGAACAAACTTCTAATATATAAATGTATTTTAAAACCGGTATGGCAATATGCAGCACAAACCTGGGGTACAGCAAGTAATACCAACATACAAAAACTTCGAACGGTTCCAATCGAAAGTACTGCACCAGATCTGCAATGCCCCTTGGTACATTACGAACCACAGTATGTTTGACATGTCATCTTGGAATACTCATCTACTAGAGTAATATTGTTTTTCTTATTATACAGACCAAAAACTTTACGAACTTTCTTTTGCTGCAAATTGAACATGGTTTAACATGTTTAAAATGATCTAGTATTTCTTCCGTTATCCATTGAATCTATTAGTTACACTATGTTCTTCTATTTTTGGTCAAACGTACACGAAATAATTTCTTCTTCTTCTTCTTCACGTGCCATCTCCGCTACGAAGGTTGGCTATCATCATGGCGATTTTGACCCTGGAGGCTGCCGCTCGGAACAATTGTATGGAAGTGCAAGCAAACCACTTCCTGAGGTTTCTCAACCATGACATTGTTCTCCTACCTATGCTGCGCCTACCTTCAATCTTTCCTTGCATAATTAGTTGTAACAGTTGATATTTATTTCCACGTGTAATATGTCCCAGGTATTGTAGTTTCCTCATTTTAACACTCAATACGACCTCCTTTTGTTTGTTCATCCTGTCTATTACAACTTGATTAGTTATCTTATCCTTCCAGGAGATTTTTAACATTCTTCGGTACGCCCACATCTCAAATGCCTCCAGCCCATATAACAGGACCGAAAAAACATAACATTTAAGCATTCATATTTTCAGCTTTAGGCTTAGGTTTCGGCTACACAACATTTGTTTCATATTGTTAAAGGCACTGCGGGCTTTCTCTATTTTTATTCTTATTTCTCTGGTGTATTCGTTTGACTCGTTAATATTTGTTCCGAGGTAATTTTTTTCATCTTACCATTTTCTATTTTACCATTGTTGACATATGAAATAGCAAAATTTTGTTGCTGATATTTTTTCTCTATTCGTTTTAGTCTAACTCTTCACATCGGCGACTAAAGGGTTGTGATTAGATCAAATATCTACTCCAGGGTATGTCTTTATTTTACTGATAAAGTTGGAAGTCTTTTGTTGATATAAATAGAAGAAAGAGTCAGGTATTTAATAAATAATTCAAGTGGTGTTACTAAGTATTTTTATGTCCATAGGTTTGATAGACATTCAAATGCTTTCAATAGTGGTATCCGGAGAACAGACGAAGAGGGTTCTGGAAATAATAAACCACTTGCATAAACTTCGTCTTTGCTGAGCCAATCGGCATCCTCAGGCGATGTGTTATTGTAGCGCACAATGCCGAGAAGCTCATTTGCCAATTTGGCAGCAAGTCGCTGTGCATACTCTAGTTTGGGATATAAATAGATCCTACTGGTTGCACATATTCTGTTCTTGAGTGATGAGCATTGTAGTGATGAACAAAAGAAATCGTAGGGCAACTGTTTAAATGCTTTCAATGGAAGCGACATATCAAATTAAAACATCACAAAAACTGGTGAAAACTTGTAGTATGATCCTTTATATGGGGATTAGAGGTTAATACCGAAAAGACACAATACATGAATATAGGAGGCATCGGTCAAGACATGGAAACAGAAAGCGGATTAATTAAAAACGTTGATCAGTACGAATATCTCGGAGTTACACTAAGCGAAGACGGGAGAGACGAGAAGACGATATAACAAGAAAAATAGGAAAAGGAAAAAACATGATAAAAACACTACATCGGATCCTGTGGAATAAAACTTTAACTAGGAAAACAAAGAAAAATATATATCAGGCTATGATTCAGCCGGTGCTGACGTATGGGTCAGAAGTGTGGGTCTTTAACAATAATATGTCACAAAAACTCCTCTCAACGGAAATGATGTACTGGAGAAGATGTTCCGGGTTAACTTTGTTTGACCACATAAGAAATGAAAACATAAGAGAGAGAATGGAAAGAAAGGATACCACGAAAGGTTTGGAACTGGAGACCTACACAGAGAAATAAAAGGGGAAGGCCAAGAAAGAAATGGATATCCAATATTCATATAGAAATGGAAAATAGAGGTCTTCAAGAAGGAGACTGGGCCCATAAGAAATTATGGCGATTGGGATGCGAGAAGCGACAAAATTAAAGTTGCAAACACTCGCTATATATATATATATATATATATATATATATATATATATATATATATATATGATCCTTTATCTAAGTGACTTAGTACCACGAGAACACTTGGAATTTGAAAGATTGTACAGGCTGATTGAAGGAAATCGGAAAGAGGAATTTTAATGAACTCATTGAGCGGCAACAGTAGCATTCCTCCGTGCATTCAATCACTTGTTAATTATATCTGAGCCTGCTGATTTTTTATTTAAGATTTTGTATAAATGTTTTCTGATTCCTCTTAAGAGAGAATTTAAATTTTGTTTTTCCTATTTTCATTTTCTTTCATAAACATTGTGTCCTAACCTTAAATAATTATGAGTAGTATATTTACCTTGTTTTAGTATTTATTTTCATTGTTACAGTTCTTTAAATGTGTATATGTAGTTACTACAATTATTTTTTTATTTCTAACAAATATGATACAATTTTTAATTATAATTTATTTTAAATTAACAGGGTATTAATCAAAGCACAGGTTTTTAAACGTGCCTTGAACTCCATAAGTTTCTGTATCCTCCAATGGAGTGGGACGAAGACTTTCGTTCACTTTTAATACGTCCCTTTGGTCAAACATTTCTTGGTATTCTTTTAGCTTTGCGTTCCAATCTTCTACAACAAATAAAACAAATGAATATATTATAGGTTTAAATATGCAAGGGTATAATAGGACACATTCAATATTTTCTCTTCACATCTGCGGAAAAACGAGGAGCTAGTTAGTTAACCAAGTTAACTTCAAGCACCAGCAAGAAGCGCTACTACCTGACTTGACGATGGCAAGTGCGACTTTACCGAAACGTCGTCAAAATCATGGTTTTCATCAAAACCAAAGTCGCTGAAAACCACAGAAAGTACATATCACTCCTGCGTAAATTTCAAGTGTAACTATTAATTAGAGTGTAGTTTATTAATTAAATCTTGCCCAAGTACTTTCGCTCCTAGAGCATTTTCAGTGGCATTTTATCAAATTTGGCCTATCCAACAATCTATTGAGAATGTCATAAACATGAAATTGTACATTACTTACTTAAAGGTGTTTAGCCAAATTTTTAAATATCCCTAAGACCTCATTTAATTTAGATTAAGAATATATATATATATATATATATATATATATATATATAAACCATAAAAAAACCTTTATTAAATCTCTTTTGATGTCTATAAAAAAGAGAAAATTTCTCAAAAACGTTTATAAATGAGTTTTTCGTAGTTTTGAAGATGACGCACCATACAGAAAAATCTACAAAAAAAACAGAGATATAGGTTTTAATTACATACACAGAATAAAGAATTTTTTTCGAAAAAAAAATTGGTAAAATATTCTGTGAGTGAATTTTTTGAAATTTTTAAATTATTAACATCCTACCTAAAAAAAAATTTACTTATTTTAGGGGGTACCGAGTGGGAGTGGGGGTGGTTGACTAATATTACGTTAAGCCTTATTTTTTAATCACATAAAACGTAAAGAAATGAAAAAAATAAATTTCTAGTAGATAGGGCATTTTGCCTATCTTAACGGGTGATATGTATGGGTTAATGATTTATGCGAGGTTTTTTTTTGGAAACGTATTCCAAGGAAAGTGTTCTTAATGAAAATACATTGAGAAAAAATTACGTACCTCAAATCTACAACGATATCATAAAAACATCAAGATGTTCAATCACAAATTAATCCCTTAATTTGTAATCTCTCATTATTCTTAACTTCTTCACCGTGTATAATTAAGTCTTTGTAAAACTATATCGAGTAATATTTTAATAATTAAAGTAACATTCATCTGTTAATAAATTGTCGAATAATATATTTTCCAATTGAACTCTCTAAGTGTTGCAATTACGGCCTAGATTAAATTCTATTGTAAGCTCATAGTTCAAAGTTTGTTAGTATAATAGAAGCAATAACCTCTGCGCTGAGGTAATTATTATTTGTGAGATTATAAATTAGGGATTTGAGCTCATGTGAGCGCAGTCTATTATACATAGTTACCTAACTAACACCATATCATAATTAGTAGTAGCTGTCAATAAACCAACATTTTTCTCCACAACTTCAACGTTTTATTATATTTATCATCGTCGATCGACAAGAAGCGGACAAATGGGCATTATAAAACGATTCGAACCTTGTAACTACGTTCGAATCTGTCCAAAGATAATGAAAAATGAACACATTTATTTTATTGTAGTTGAAACTACAGATTATAAATTTATTAGTAAGATCTATGCGAGATGAACCCAGTGAATCTTATTTAATTGCATGTCGACAGTTAGACAGAACTAACCATTTTAAGATTTTTTAATGAATGTTTTGATTTTTTTTTGCTCTCAATGTAGTTTCCACAGTAAAAATTTTACTTATGTCATCAGACTCTGCCCCTTACATGGTTCAAATAGGTTAACAAATTAAATTAAGTTATGCAAATTTAGATCATATTGTTCACATATTAGATATGAATTTTCTGATGTAAATGTACTATTAAGTAGCGTAAAACAGTTTTTGTCAAAATTACTTTACAGGTCCAGTTGTACAGGAACAAATTGCCTAATGTACTTTTACCTCCCGAACCAGTATTGACTAGGTGAGGAACTTGGTTGGAAGCTGTAATTTTTTATGCTGAACATTTGGCCGCAATTAAGAAATTGCTTTTAGAATTCAATGCCGAAGACAGTGCTGCTATTATAAAGGTACAAAAAATTGTTAAAACAACTTTTATCAAGACGTATTATAGTTTTAAAGTAAAAAACCATAAATAATTGTGTAACGTTATAAACGTTACATCTTTATTAATTTATACTTAAATAATTATTTTATTTTAATTTTAAAAATTTAATCAAAATAATTATTTATTTTATTTAAATTTTTATATTTTATTAATGTATTCATTCCTTAACCTTCAGTTTCTTTTTACCATTTTTTCTTCAAACAAATAGTTGGCGCCCTCTCTCTCTTTCTGTGCAGTAGAATTAATATTAGGCTTCTCTCTTTTTATCCAGTAGACTAAATATTCTGTTCAATGTTGACAGAAGAGCTAATTCCATCATAGGCATACGTCCTATGGCATCTGTTCTAAACTTTATTGTACTCTCGCCCTAATTTCTGTCAATCAACTTTTCTAAACGAGGTGGGATATTACTTTTTGTCTGTTTCTGAAACTTATAAAAAAAGATAATATTGAATAAGGTTTATTTTTTTTTGCAGAAATCTCTTGGGGTGAGTACTTTGATTGTAATCTATATTCTATAATTCTGACAGCATTTTCAATATTCATAACCTCACTTCTTCGAAAGCCACGTTTTCAATTTTATGCATGTTCCTACATGCATACATATATCGTACAAAACTTAACTAACTTTAATATTAATTCTATTTCATTTTATCCTTGCCATCTGCTATTTGTCTAATTGTGATTTTGGTAAAATAATTGGCAATGAAATTAACCTCTTTGATGTCTCGCTAATGCTGTTGTTGTATTCTAGTTTATGCTTTAATGAAATTCTATGGAATGTTTTATGGAATAATAAATTTATAGAATAACTGCAGCTGTCTGTAAGGCCCACCCACATGCTATCGAGGCGGCAACAGGGCCTACCCACATAATCTGGAGGCAACATCGTAGCAGGAGCAAGAAACCAAAATATGCCATAAGTATCAGTTCTAAACTTATTAAATGTAAAGGTTTAGGCAGCGTTGTTTTTGATTTTTTTTATGTTGAATAAATATCATTAGTTAAATTATTGTTTTATTTGTTACTAGCCAAATTTTCATGGTTTAATTCATATTTTTTGACAAGATGAATTCACCCCTGAGAGACTGACCTTGGTGAACCATAGACGATAAGAAAATCCACAAGGAAAACAATTCCTGTAGCTGGCTGTATACCACGTATCACATTAAATGTTACATTGACATTTTGTTTTTGACACCGTCCATAGGTATATTGTAAATCAGTTTCCAGCTGTTCTCCGTGCGTAGAGGTTTTCTCCCCGGCTCTGGAACTCAATTTTTACAATGTATGTTACCTGAAGTCATATTTAATTTAATACTGAACATCACAGTTTTTTAACAACAAGATGTATAATCTTTTATAACTATATGTAATTTAAGGGTTTTTACCCATGTATTTTTGGTGGCTCAGGCATTCTAACCTAGTAAGTATAGCCATTTTTGCTTTTTAACCATAGTCAAAATTTCATAACCACGTTTGTTTTAACTAAATGGTTTATACTTATTTTAGGCGATTTTTAAAACCTGATGATGGACTGTTTAGTCCGAAAACGTTTGTTTTTTTGATCTAGCCCTTTAAGGGTTTTTAAATAAATAAACCCACTTACGAAGACTAACCTCTTTTTTTATAGACGATAAGCTCCCATGGTTGATTGAGGTATTATTTTTATAATATTATTTCAATTCTTTTTGGTAGTTTTCTCGTTACAATTTAAAAACGAGGAAAATGTCTTTTGAAATAGTTAACAACTTTAAAGCAAACGTTTCAAAAGTTCCCGGTGAAATCGGTAATTGAGTTAAAAAGAAATGAGTATTCGTTCTAGAAAAAAATAACGGCTTTAAAACTTTTGATTGATTTTGAAGTCGAATTTTTAGCTTTAACAAGTTAACTTAAATATTCTCCAATTACCTCTGTTAATATTGAAAGAAGTTTTTTAAGTTATAAAAATATTTTATCAGATCAAAGAAAATGTTTCCTGGTCGCATATGAATCCGCTCCCTAATTATCAGGTATATTAAGTAATCTGTAACATATCGTATTCGATTTCCTCAAGAGAAAATTAATACTTTATTTCATATAATTTTTTAATATACTCGTACTTTTTTTAAGAAATAAAATATAAACATACCATGTAGTTCGTCAACAGATTTTTCTTTGCCACCATAATCGCTGGGTAATACTTCAGCCGGAATGTAGTCCAACAATGTATCGGTAGATTTATGTAACCGGATCTAAAACATTAATTTTTTATATAATATGTGGCAATAGTTCTAGAAACTGGTAAACAAAAACAATAAAAAGAAGTAAACATGCTTCGCAAACAAATTCCAAAGCTTTTAACTCATAAAGGCATCATTTGAGCTAAACAATTTCATAAAAAACATCTTTCTAGTATATTTTTTATATATTATTAATCATATATAAATCAAAGTAAAATAATGTCTTACTAAGTCTATAAAAAATGTCAATTCATATAAAACATAAAAATAATAATTATTTATGACTTAATAACGTGTATGCTTTCCTCCAACGGTAACTGTGACTGGTAACTACATAGTGCATAACTTGAATTTAGCATTCGTGCAAAAAATCCCGGGTAATCGAATGATCGAGTAATATCTGGCCTTGCGTTATCATATTGTAAGACAAGATCAGGGGAAACACAACACGCAGCAGTTATCACTGTTCATCCAAGACGATTTGGACATAACTTTGAGCTTCAAGTTTTCTATTCTAATTTCGGCCAAATCATCAGAAATTTTCGCCAAATCGGTTGACTTCCTGAATGACAATAGGTAGGTATCATGCATCCAACGTTTTACCGAATATATCAATTAACGTGATTTCGAAGTTCTGCTGTAGAGTCGTTGTATGTGTGTATCCTTCAGCTTCCATAAGGCATGATTACAACCGGTGACCCACCGAGGGAACTTGGACATTTATAGTAACAGAACAAAAAGAGCCACTGGCTTTATTTAAAACAACCCCGCTTGGTTTTTGAACTTCATTAAGGTGCATTAAAAAATAATAGATACGTTCGTATTGGGAAGTTCTAAGAAACTTGCAGGTTGCTGTTCAACGAGTCTGCACTGCGGTTCAAAGGGCCACTACATTTTCTAAATAAGTACCGGGTCTAATGAATAAAATAGCATCACTAAAGAAAAAATTCAATCTTAATTAATTTCAAAGCTTCTCTAAAAATTCACGATTAAAAATTTGCCCTTAAATTACAATTGACACGTGAAACGATACTCTTGGTAAAAGCGTATTCTTTTTATTCGTTTATGGCCATTCTTTACCAATATCTTCCTTCAAGCGCACCAGTAACGCTATATTATATTTTCTATTGACGTATTTTTTTTACGGTAATTTATGAACATAATGTACCAAAATATTTTTCATACCAAAATACGAAAGCTAAAACGAGCTATGGACGGCTTTTTTCTGTTGCTTTCACTTGTCACTTGACTACCGATTTGTATTTACAATAAAGTCGTGGATCTGTGTTTTATCATTGGCACATACTATACCGTTGCTGTTTATTGCACTTAAATAGTTGTAAAACGCAAAAAGTTCTTTTTGATCGACTGTGAGTATACACGCTACCGTAACTACTTTTTATTTTTCTCAAAAAGATAAATTTTACAATTTTTACATTTTTTTTACAAAAATGATCATGCTAATGGTAAATGCATTGCTGATCCTTCTACTTGTCTGTTATTTTGTGCAACTTTACTATTAATTTGCAATACTAATTTATGCAAAACAAGTTTTTAATTTGTTTTTGTATTTCAGACATCTGCTGAATTTGGGACACCAGGGATTTAAAAATTATTTTGGTCTACTATCGTCTTCAAAGCCAGCGTGTAACCTCTTAACTAAAACTAATAGCCTGGTTGATCTATCTTTTATAGGTGACGTTTGTATGTTAATAATGTCCCACAATTTAAGTCCAAGACTTATCGAAGAATATGGTAACTTTCCACCTTTTAAATCCAAAGTCATTGTCAAGATAATTTCTTCATCTCAAATTAAGGCAAAATGTGATACAATTATGTAGAATAAAAAACTATCGATTAATTAATTCCTCTATCATCTACATACATAGCCTCTAAAAGCCTCGGTGATTTACTGGGAACTAGGCTAATAGAGATAAAATAAAATATTAAAAAATAATTATTACGATGGCGAATGAACAAACATTTCAAATGCAATATCGAAGTGTCACAAAAATTTAGATATACAGTGGAACTTCTTCATAACGGACACCAACGGGGGGAAATAATTGTCCGTTGTGTAGAGTTATCGCTTAATCAAGTGAAATAAAAAAGAAGTTTCCATTTACTAATTTTTTAATTATACAATTTCGTACATATTTGCATAACCATACCATCAATCAGCCAATCGCGTCCACTGCTGGACATAGGCCTCCCTCAGTTTTTTCCAGTGTTCTCTACACTGGGCCGCTTGTAGCCAGTTTCCCGCTACACGTTTAATGTCATCGGTCCATCTAGTCGGTGGTCGTCCTCGGCTTCTTTTATAATTTCTGGGCCTCCATTCCATAATACGTCTTGTCCACCGTCCATCTTGTGTTCTGGCTAAGTGCCCTGCCCAGTTCCACTTAAGCGTCGTGGTTCTTTCGATGACGTCTTGAACTCCTGATCTTCGCCTGATTTGTTGGTTTGTTATGTGGTCTCGAAGGCTCACGTTCAGCATTGCACGTTCCATGGCTCGTTGTGTAACTCAAGTTTATTCGCAGATTTTTGCGTGAGTGTTAAAGTCTCTGCTCCATAAGTTTGTACAGGTAAAACACATTGGTTATAAACCTTTCGCTTGAGACACATGGGAATTGAACTATTTAGAATATGGCTTAATTTGCCAAATGCTGCCCATGTTAGACCTATTCGCCTCTGTATTTCATGTGTTTGATTGTCTCTGCTTATTTTGATTTCGTGTCCCAGATATTTGTAAGTGTCTGTTTGTTGTATGGTATTATTGTCAATAGTTATATTTCCACTCATTACGAGATTTGTTATAATTTTAGTTTTCTCAAAGTTTATCTTTAATCCTGCTCTTTCAGACAGACTTTTAAGCGAATGCATCATAGAAACTGTATCATGTAAGTTATCTGCGATTAATACAACATCATCTGCAAACCTTAGGTGATTTAATCTTTCTCCATCTATATTGATGCCCATATCTTGCCATTGAGTACCCTTAAATATTGACTCTAGAGCTGCCGTGAACAATTTTGGTGAAATATTGTCTCCTTGTCTAACTCCTCGACCTAAGCTGAATTTTTCTGTGTCTTCGTGCAGTCGTATACTTGATGTAGCGTTCTGATAGATGTGTTTGATTAGTGTCGTGTACCTGTAATCTATTCAGCTTTGATTTAGGGCTTCCAGTATTGTTTCAAACTCTACACAATCAAAAGCCTTCTCGTAATCGACAAATGCAAGAACCAGTGGTATGTTGTATTCGATGCACTTTTCTATTAAGATCTTTATGGTATGCAAATGGTCATTTGTGCCATATCCTGCCCTGAAGCCTGCCTGTTCTTTGGGCTGATAGAAATCAAGTTTAGGTGTTAGCCTCTTTGTTAAGATTTTCATAAAGAGTTTGTTCATATGTGTCAAGAGGCTGATGGGTCTATAATTTTCTAATTTAGTAATATCGCTTTTTTTGTGTAACAAGACTATTACTGCATTGTTCCAGTCTTTTGGAATCGTACCCGCATGTAAGCATTTAGTAAACAGTTCGCTTACTGATTTTATTAAAATTTCTCCACCTGCTTTTATTGCCTGGATAACGAGTCCATCATCACCAGCAATCGATGGTTCTTCATTTCCTTTAAAGCTGCTCTTACTTCTGACACAGTAATGGGTAAAAGTATTTCCGATCCCTGATTTATGAGAGTCTTTACTCGTGTCGGGAAATTGTATTGTGGTCTTTGGCTGGTATAGAGGTCTTTATAAAATTCTCTAGTTATTTTCAGAATGTTTTGTTTATCTGTTGTTGCCTTTCCGTCTTTATCTCTCAGCTTGTATATTTCTTTTTTACTATGCGTAAGTTTTCTTTTCATTATATTTAAACCTTTGTTCTCTTCTACTGTTTGAGTAATTACATTAGTATTATATCTTCTTACATCTTTTCTAATTTCCGCTGAAATTCTTTTATTTAGTTTTTTATATTCGTCTTTGTTTCCCTTTTCGTTCTCGCTTAGGTTTCGTCGTATTTCCATGAGAGCCCTTGTATCTTTGCTAATCTTTTCACTTTTGGTGTCATTTTTCTTGCAAAATTTGAGTTGTGCGTTTCTAACTGAGTCTGTTATTAATTTATTGTGATCGTCGATACTTAGAGGTTTGGGATTATTACTCTGTAAGGTTTCGGCTATATTTCGTATGTATGCTTCTGGATGATTTGGTGAATTCCGAACTATGCGTTTTACAACTGTTTATCATCTTTGCTCTTTCTTTTTGTAGATTGATCGTTACTCTAGCTCTTACTGGTCTGTGGTCGCTTCCTACTGATAGTTTATTGAGTACAGTGACATCTTGAATAATTTGCTTTTTGTCTGTTATTCATCATCATCATTGGTGCTACAGCTCTAGTTGAGCCTTGACCTTCCCCAGTCTATTTCGCCAGTCGTTTCTGGCCAATTTGCCGCGCCGATCTTCCTTGCGTCCTCGTCCACACCGTCCCTCCATCTCAGTCGTGGTCTGCCTCTACTCCTATTTCCCACTGGGACCGATAATAGAGTTTGTCTGGGTGGGTAATTTTCATTTGCTCTTGACACATGTCCAGCCCATCTAAGCCTACCTATTTTTATAAAGGATATTACATCTCTACCATTTACTATTTTTTTATACTTCTCGTACAATTCGAAATTATATCGCCTTTTCCAAATACCATTCTAACAGAATGCGCCCATTATTCTTCTTAGTATCTTCCTTTCGAAGACGAGCAGAAGATTTGCGTCTGTTTTGGAGATGGTCCATGTTTCTGACCCATATGTCAGCACTGGTAGGATGAGTGTTCGATATATTATTAGTTTGGTTTTCTGGCTTAAATTTCTGTTTTTTAGCTGCTTGCTTAGTCCAAAATAACATTTGTTTGCTAGCAGTACCCTCCGTTTAACTTCTTCAGATGTGTCATTATCGTTTGTTATGAGAGAACCCAAATATGTAAACTTAGTTACTACCTCAAAATTATATTGGTCTATACTGAAGTTTTGTTCGGCGTTTCTAGCTCTATCTCTGGTATTTGGAATAGATGCTAACATTTTGGTTTTTTCCTCGTTTATTTTAAGGCCCATATTTTGTGCGGCTGTCAAGAAGGCGGAAGTCATCTCTTTAAGTCCTCGTGTAGTACGTGCAATCAAATCCAGATCGTCAGCGTAAGCCATAATCTGCGTTGATTTATTAAAGATTGTTCCCCTATTGTGTAACTCGGCATCTCTTATAGTCTTTTCTAACGCTATATTAAAGAGAAGGCACGCCAGCGCGTCTCCCTGCCGTAACCCTGCATATGTTTCAAACGCTTGTGACATATCGCCTTGTATTTGCACTCTGCAGATCACTTTACTCATAGTTGTTTTTACGAGCCTTATTAATTTATGGGGAATGTTAAGTTCATTCATGGCTTCGTATAATTTACCTCTTAGGACGCTATCATACGCTGACTTAAAGTCCACTTGTCTGTTATTATATAATCATATTCGCTCTTAGTTCTTCCATCTGGACTAGCCCACGTCCATTTTCTATTCTGTTTCTTCTTAAAAAGGTGTTCATTGCATACAGTTTGTGTTGCAGTAGAAAGTTGGTAAGCATTTCGCCTCTTTCGTTTCTTACTCCGATTCCAAAATCTCCGATTGCCACTTCTTGTTCGTCTTTTTCCTTCCGAGTTTCCCGTTAAAATCTCCCATTATCAGATTGTAATGAGCCGGTTCCTGCTTTTTTGCTCTTTCGATTTCCTCATAGAAGGCTTCGACAATTTCATCTTCGTAATCGCTGGTGGGGGCGTATACCTGGATTATTTTCAGATTGTATCTCTTATTTAGTCTTAGATTTATATACATAACTCTTGGGGAAATGCAGTCAATGCTCGGTATATTTTTCTGTAATTTTTTGTGTACTAATAAACCTATTCCTCCAGTTGTCGATTCCGTTTCCCCTTTATAGTGGAATATGTTTCCTGATTTTAGTTTAACGTGATCTTCACCTCTTCTTTTGACTTCGCTAATTCCTATAATATCCCATTTCACATGTTTGAGTTCTTCCTCCAGTTCTGTCATTTTTTCATCCTTAGATAAAGTTCTTACATTATACGTAATTATGTGCAATGTTCGTCGTTCTTGGTAGCCTCTTACATCCCGGGGATTCTTCGCACCCTCTACCCGCTGTCCGTGAGTCCTACCGCTACCTTGGTCGGAAACTAGCGAGCTGCCGGGGACTGAGGGCCGTTTTCTTGAATGTCTTCTCATAACCATATACACAAATAAAATACTATTGAAAAAAAGGTAGACAACTATCACTTCTTAAAATAATCATCAATTTTGGTTTGTTTTTTGTTTTGAACATTATTTCTGACAATTTCTGATTCAACATTTGAAATTACATCAGATATTTTTTGACTTAATTTAAAGCATAATTTAAATTACTCACAGTTGTAGTAAGTTCTAGTTCATATCCCCCTTATTGTCGGAAACATTGGACGCCTATTCGTTTTCTTTAAGATCACTAACACAATTAGCTAAGTTTACTTTAGAATTTTGCGTCAATAAGGCTGCATTATTCTCTAGGTAGTTAAAAAACTTTTTAACTCCATGACTTTCGCTAAAGGTTGACAATGACAAATCATCTTTCAATTCTTGTAGCTCCAAATTTTTTTAAAATTTCTTCTTAATTACTATCGTTTTTTAAAAAACCGCCAAAATAACCTGTTTTTTTCCACTTAAATTTGCACGCAATAATGCGGTCAGTCGTTCCTTAGCACAGTTATCCCCAGTGCACTTTTCATTTCAATTTCATTTCAATAAATTTGATAGTTTTCTTTGCCACTTTGAAACATCGTCAAGGTTAACATTGTCAAGCCAACCATTGGAAGCTCTAAAATTTAAATTGAGTTCTTTTGTCGCCTGCAAATCTCTTTTATTATCGGTCCAGATATTGGAATGTTCTTCCTTCTCACTTTACAAAACCAAACGTACACTATAGTATCGATAGCAACACCTTCAGTTTTAATCCTCTTTTTTTGTTAAACTTTTCCACTTTCACTATACCACTTTTTTTCTTTAAAATGTTACTAACTTGAGTTTTTACTGAAATTTTTCGGCCAAAACTCGAACACTATAATTATGATCATAAGTACCTATTTATATACTTAGTTTTATGGCTGCAACAAGTTATGCACATACTTAGATTTCGGGAGCCCTAATTTTAAACTTTTAATCGCCTTGACCTCTGACTGTCCGTTGTTGAGGGGTAAAATTAAAATAATTTCTTAGAACATCTTAAGGCAAATTTTGAACATATGAAATGTTCTTCGGTGACCTAAAACTGCCGTTCAGCAGAGGTATCCGTTGTGGAAAGGTGTCCGTTAACAGAAGTTTTACTGTATATTATATTTGTACAATTTTTATACCTTTAAACTCTAACTACTTACCCTTTCATATAATTTTGGTTTAAGAAATTGTTTACATAGTTTTAACAACAGGTCCACAAATGGCGGGCTGTTAAAAAGATGAAACTCCTTTATTTTGCTATTGAGTAGGTTCTGGAAAATATACAGAATAACTTTATTTCTAGAAATGAAGTTGCATAAATTTTTATTTTATAAATTATACTAACTAAAAAAGAACCGGCATAAAACAGTATAAACGGAGTTTTAACGAATCGGCGGAGTTTAAAATTGTAAACAATAATAGAAGAACATAAAGATTTTTAAACATCCTTTTTAAAATAGATTTAGAAGCAAGTTAAAAAAATAATATAACAGATCGTTATTTTATACCAACTAGAGAGCATGATTTTTCTTAAAACTGTTTCTTTGTCTATTTTAGATTCTTTTTTTATTGTCTAAAGCTGAAGCTTTAGACAATATTTATCTAATTTTACTCAATAACGGAAGACCAATCAAAACATCCAGACCAAACGAGCGTCTTTCAATAATAGACTTAACATTAGTGTCTCCTCATGTAACAGGCATTAATAAGTGGAATCCTCTAAATGACTGACTAGTACAATCTATATCTCTATCCAAATCACCATAGATTTAAGATATTCTCCAATAGCAATTCATACCTCCACAAAATGGAAAAAGTCTTCAGCGGACTGGTCTATATTTAAAAATTACTACACAAAAGGTGCAGATTCTGTTACGATTACACAAAAATCAGTTCAACCAAAATCCGGTCTTCCCAAACGGTGGGGCGACGAATATAAACATTTCTTATCTTGTCGAGAAAAAGCTTTTCGAGAGTATAAGATTGTCTTAAATCTTGAAACTATTGAAAATTTGAAAATTATCTAAAATTTAAACACATCCAAGCTAAATGCAAAACTGTTCTCAAAAAAATTCTTTGATCAACTTTGTAAAAATATTAATAATATTAAAATTAAATAAAATTACTTAGTATAATGAAATTTGTTATAAAATGGCTAACAAAAATTATAATTCAAAAACATTTCCAATTTCAACACAGCTAATAGAGTTACTTGACAAGTTCGCTCCACCATATGTTTATGACCAATTAAAACATGTAAGAATATGTAATTCTAGTAAATTCAAAATATTAGAAAATCCAAGAAACATCCAAAAACTACTGCAGCTAGTATTAAAACAAATGCGTCCAGGAAAGATTATCACTTATTCGATAATTAATCCCCCCCCCCCCGACCAAAGCCAGTTATTATTAAATAATAAAATATTTAATGATTGGCTTCTGGAACGAAATTACAATAAAATGAAAGAAACAATTATATGTCTTTTTAATAAACCCAACAAAGACAAAACTCTCTCATCGTCTTATCGAGCCATTTATTTTTCTACTATATTGTATAACAACAACTTTCGAAAGAATTATCAAAAATCACCTTTACTGGACAGTCGAACACTATTATAATCTTTTGACAAGCACTCGGTATGGATTTCGATCAATTCACTAAACAACATCTTTATAACAAACTTTTTCTTAAAATAAATATTTAGCATGTTTTTTTTTTCAAGACCTTAGGGGCGCTTCTGACTTTAATAATTAAACAGTAATGCATTAAAAGTTACGCGAACTGAGGTTTGTCCACAAATTTATCCGCTAATATAGTAAATATTTTTAGAGACCGAACTTTATATATCAGGGTCGCTCTGAATAGCCGCTCAGAAGATCGCTTTTAGGGTGAAATACGTATAAGCGGATATACAGACGCACTATACGTGAAATTAAATCTTAAATGTCTTTCCTTTTATTTCGATATACTCTTGATGAGTACCATGAGTACTATAAACCAATTCGCTAAGAATTTTTGCTGAGTGGAGGAGATATGTTGTGGAATGCAATTTTAGATTCCCCATATCCCTAATTACATTACTGTTTTGCCTTGCAATTCTTAGAAGGTACAGATTAAAGCAGAAATCTGAATTTGGTTTCGAAAATTAGTTTACGGATTTAATAAATAAATGTTGAACTCCACATTGAGTGAATATATTAATAAAACTATAATTTATATATTCCACTATAACCAAAGGATCACCAGCAACTATCACAAGAATAAAAATTAGTCACGGTGCTGTTCCTGCTCACCTGTCTAGATTATACATAATCATCATCAGCCGTTTTGAGTCCACTCCTGGACATAGGCCTTCCTTAAATAATTCCAATGCATTCTATCTTGAGCACCCTGAATCCAGTTGTGCTGAATGCGCTTGATGTCATCTGACCACCTTGTTGGAGAACATCGTGTCTAGGTCTCCATTCCAGAATTGTCTTCATCCCCCTTCCATCTTTTAATCTGGCAACATGCCCCGCCCAGTTCCATTACAATGTTGTAATCCTTTGAACTGCGTCAGTAACACCAATTTTTCTCCTTATTATTGTATTTTATATTCTGTCTCTGAGGGATATATTCAGCATTGACCTCTCCATCGCTCTCTGTGCCACTTGTATTTTATTGATTACTTTTCTGGTAAGGGTCAATGTTTCTGCTCCATACGTTAAAACTGGTAGTACACATTTATCAAAGACCTTGCTTTTTAAGCACATGGGAATATCTGATCTAAAGACTTCTCTCAGTTTTCCGTAAGCTGCCCATGCCAGTCCTATTCTCCTGTTTAGCTCCGTTGTTTGATTATCTTTTCCTAATTTAATCTCGTGGCCCAGATATTTATAGCTACACACCTGTTCAATTTGCGTGCCATTTGTTGAGATGTTTTTAGCCAGTACAAGGTTGGTCATATATTGTATTTTAGAGAAATTCATTTTAAGTCCAACTCGTGTACACGAGCACTGAAGGTCTTGAAGAAGCTGGCACACATGATCTACACGGTCTGCAATATGTCGTCTGCAAATCTCAAGATGTTCAGAAATTCTACATTTATGTTGACTCCAATACATAATAGAATCAGGAAAATGCTCTTGTGATAATATTTTCCAGTGTGATATCAATCTCATCCTGTTTAAATGTATTAAAAATAAACAATTTTCTTATCTACATTTTATAAGAACCTGGTTAAAAGTCTTGCAGTAAAGAGAACCCACCTACTGTCACTGAACGAGAAATCAATATACAAACTCGTAATAATCATTAATATGTATCCGGATATATAATATATATATTTGTTACAATCAAGTTTCAATTTATTAATATATCATAAAACGTTCAAAAATATGTGGTAACTGGACTAGTTTCCATACCAAACTCACTATCATCATCATCATTAAACGAATTGGGCAACAGGTGACGTCATCGTTACCCATAAACAAGAAAAGATTGTAAAATAAGTGATTTAACAACTGTATCGTACAACAACTTAATCGTACTGTATAGCAAGTGGTTAATGTTATAGTTTACTGTTTGTATCATGTTCAACGCTACATGTCTGCAATACTGTACAGATTGTTTAGTTCAACTCACAGTGAAACATCTGTAATGATATGAGACTGTGAGTCTAACTTCACCTCCACTCAATGCAGGTCACATTGGGTGAGGAAGTTCGCAAAAATAAAAGCAAAACATCTAGTAATTGAGTATCCGCGATTTCAACGAACAAGAACCAATTGTGAAATCAGTAATAGCAATAAAAGTTCGATTACAACTAATTTACACTTAATAAATTTTCATTGATAATGGTAAATACCAAATTTTTAAAAAGTCTTAACTGTTTTTTATATGTCCCAACGCTAATAATTCTCAGCAGTGGACTAAAATTTCTTTTGTTCAAATAAAAGAAAACAATAATTATAATAATACTTGCCTCTACAATTACTAAAGCGTCTCTTATAATTGTTGGAGTTAATCTCAACAAATGCTCCATTTTGAAATTTTGTTGGTCAACCAATACAATGATGCCCAAAATTAAATTATCATTTTCTCTTAATGCGACGTCCATGATATTTAGGGCTTGAGCAGCCCATCCATATATTATATCAAAGTCATTTGGAATACAATCTTTTATTTTCACAAATGTTACTCGATATCTATTGTCTACCATTTTCGGGAACACAAGCAAATAGCTAAAATAAAATACGAAGTTAAAGAAATATATTGTTGATGTAATCTAATCCATCAATTTTACAACATTTTATTTTACAAATCATGAATGTGTTGCTTATGTGAGTCCATTTTAAAAAGGTAAAAAAGAAATAATTAGACTTACTCACAATCAGTTTAATTTAACTACCTCAGACGACCGGTTTCGCTTTCTAAAATTTGCAAAGCATCATCAGGTCGGTGGTACAAAGTAAATTAAATGCTGAAATTATAAAAAGCCCATATTAGGGTGCTGTCTTATAAGTTATATATAACTTTTTGATCTATATCCTAAAGTTATATAGTTATACATAACTTTTTGATCTATATCCTTATAATACAGCACCCTAATGGGCTTTTTATAATTTCACCATTTAATTTAATTTGTACCACCGACCTGATGATGCTTTGCAAATTTTAGAAAGCGAAACCGGTTGTCTGAGGTAGTAAAATTAAACTAATTGTGAGTAAGTCTAATTATTTCTCTTTTTTACCATTTTATTTTACCTTTGAAAGCATTGACTTGAATGGTAAACCATATTAAAAAGAAATAATGGTAAGTGTTTCCAAATATCTGATTTCGCATTTTCCAAAAAAAAAAAAAAAATGTAAAATTCCCAAATGGAAAAAATAAAGTTATATATTTACATTTATTTAATAGAATGTATAGTTAGTAGTAAAAAATAAAACAACATTTCAAGTGTGTTCTATTATCTCTAAGCTATAGAGGTATTACAATCCTTTCCAAGACGTTCTTTCAGTTGTGACGTATTGTTGTATTTTAGAAATGTCAAGACTTGTATGCAATTCTAAACAAATGCAAAAGTTGCCAGGATTATATTTAGCCGAATGTAAAATTTTTCTAAAATAATGTGGTGTTTATTATAATTTGAAACACAAAGTAATTTGACTGTAAGTGGCGATTTTTTTACGGGAATATAGAATAGGATAGAATAGAAGATTCTGAAGTAAAAAAAGATAAAACATTACAAGTACAAAAAATTTAATCATCAATTGTGTCAATTGAAATATAATTCTTGTCATATAAGTTGTCATTGTAAGTTCTTCTTTTGAGTCGTTCGATAATCTTTCACATTAGTTGTAATAAGGTAAGTTGTAAAATTAAAATATTATATTAGCGTTAATAAAAATTTCCATTGTAATATTATATTTTGCAAGCCCCTTGCAAGTGTTGCATAAGTTTCCTCGAAACAGATGATCATACTCGGAGACCAGGATAAGGACGAAACCGGGTAACTTTTTATACCAATATTCAAGATTGATTTTTAAGAATTGCTCCTCTTCGACAACGTTGTGTAACACATCGAAGTCTACAAATTCAGCTTTGAGACGTGCATGCTATACAAATTAGTACTCAAACTGTTCGCCAGCGACTTGGGGAATACAACTTAATACCTAGGATTGCCGCCCGAGGTTTTCTATTAACTGCAGAGCATCGAAATGGGACACTACATTTTACCAGAGAACACGTTAATTGATTAGAGGCTGACTGGCACCGAGTGCTATTTACTGATGAATCCCGATTGTGTCTGTACAATAACGACAGACGTGTTAGTGTGTTGCGACGACCCAACGAACGATATGCTCAGTGTTCTCACACATCACATTTTTTGGTGGAGGATCCGTTATGGTGTGGGGTGGTATTTCTTTGATCGCACGTACGGACCTAGTAGTCATACAAAATGTAACTGTTACAGCTGAAGGGTACATATTGGAGATCCTGGAGCAACATATAGTACCATTCGCTCCTTATATTGGTAAAAATTTCTTACGAATGCAAGATAATGCCAGACTGCCAGACACGCTGCACAAATTGTCATAAATTATCTAGAAGAGGTAGAAATTAACACTATGGAATGACCAGCACATATTCCGGATTTAAATCCGATTGAAAATCTTTGGGATATCCGTGGTAGGCGATTAAGAGCGGCACCGATCCAACCAAACAACTTACAGGAAGTGGGAGAGAGGCTGATCCAGATTTGGAGAGAACTAGACCAAAATTAAATACGTCAATTAATTTTAAGTATGGGCCAACGATTTGAGGTTGTCATGCGTAGTAGAGGTGGAAACACTCGTTATTAAGACTTTTTCCATATTTTAGTTTACTTTTCTTATCATATTTTTTTGGATTTTCCGTTTTATTTTTTTTTCTCCTGTACTTCAACATTTTCTGATGATTAGACAAATTTTTATAATAACTAATAAAATGTAGTATCAATCTGGTGAAGTTTTATTTTTTATTCTTTGCTATTTGAAGTTTACAAATAAAATTGTTATTGAAGTGGTGCGTTAATTTCTTGGAGAAGTGTATTTATCAGACTGTTTTGAATTATTTTGAATTTTGTATAATCTATACGTTGCACCATTTTAAAATGCAACTGATGCAACCTAACATACATTTGATAAAATATTGTCATATTGTCCAAAGAGATAGTACCTACTTCTACCTTTAGAATGGTTTGTAGGTACCTTTGGACCCAAAGTCAACTAAAATATTGTTTATTATCAATATTAATAGCAATAATTATAAAACTTTGTTTAATAAGTATATAAAATACATTGTAATTATCAAAACATGTATTGAATTTTACAATATGACTACTATTATTATCAATTGTTTCCAGCACTTTAGCTACGTAATGTTTATCTATTATATCTACTACTACTATGTGAAGATCTATTTCTGATTGAAACTAAGGAAAATCATACTGTTGAACCATATTATCAGAATCTATTTTATCAGACGTATCACAGAAGGATATTGATCATCATCTTTACTATCAGATGAAAAATTAGAAGGAAGTTTAATCGGCTTCTTTTTTACTTTTTCCTTAGGTTCTTCTTCTCTTGGCGTTTAGTTTTTCTTTCTGTTTAGCAGCTCCGACATAATAGCAAGTTTCTATGGTGTACTGGTTAAAACTCTAGTGTTTTCTTTCTTACGCATTCTTCTGCCTTATAAATCTTTTCTAACTGGCGCTTTTGGAAACGGAACTATAGACTAGACTCTAAAGTTAGATTAAAAAGAAGTGGACCGAACAGGAATATAAATAGAAGTAGATGGGGAAAATAAATGTCCTGCTGGGTTTAAAGTCAAAGAATTGGAAATTGCGTCACCGGAAGTGCTAGAAGCAGATATATTGCAGATATTCTTGTTCTGTAAAAATATTAGTGTTACCTTGCCACAAACCTGTAACCTCAAAACGTTTTACAATATTTTTGGTGTAAATGCTTGTAAATAAGCTTTTCCAGTAATTCTTGTAACGTCATAAATACTTATTGGTTTACCAGTATTACTGAACAACCAGTCTTCTGCAGTTTCGTGGTAAAAAGTTTTATTTGGACCAAAAACCCCTCGATACAATTGCTGCAATTTATGCGATATATGAAGATAAATTTTTAATAAATCTACACCGGAATTTTTGGCTTTATCAATTCTCTCTCTTAAATGGCGCTCCACCCAAATCGGGCCTTGGCCTTTTTCAAACGATGCCTCCAACCTTCTCGGTTCCGCGCCGATCTTCTCCAGGTTCTTACGTCTAGCAAATTTTGCGCATCCGCTGCCACTTTATCCTCCCATCTCTTCCGTGGCCGTGCTTTTGGTCTTGCGCCCTGCATTTTACTATCTAGGTCTCTTTTCGGTAATCTTTCTCCACACTTACTACATGACTAGCCCAGCCGAGTTTCTGAAGTTTAACTAATTCTAAGATCGGTGTCTCTTTGAACAGTAGATCGAGTTCATGGTTGTACCTGGATCTCCATATTCCATTTTCGTTAATAGGTCCAAATATCTTTCTTAGGACTTTTCTTCCGAAGACTTCCAGTTTTCTTTTTGTCTCTTTTGTCATCATCCATGTCTCGCATGCATAACATACTATTGGTCTGATAATAGTTTTGTAGACCCTGATTTTCGATCTCCGGTGTGTGTTTTTGGAGCTAAACACATGATCGAGTGAAAAATAAGCTTTGTTTCCCGTAACTATTCTACTTTGGATTTCTGGTTCTTCTGTTTAGTATCAATATCAGTATCGGCTTTTACTGGGTAGGTTTAGTATATAATATTATGTGTTATTATGTACAGAGAAAACTTTTATGGCGACCATCCTGAACACGGAGGTTAAACTCCCCAGTTGTTTAATGGTGTTGGGCGCTAATAATAAATTAGATGGTTTGTGTACTGTAAAATTTGAAATTTCGATTAAGTTATATATATCATCGTCATCATCTTGGTGCTACAGCCCTTAGAGGGCCTCGACCTTCTCAAGCTTTCTACGCCATTCTGTTCTGTCCCTTGCTTGAATTTTCCAGTTGCCGACTCCGATCTTCTCCGCATCTTGTGTTACCCCATCCATCCACCTCAGCTTTGGTCTACCCCGTCGTCTCATTCCCACAGGTTGCGCTGTTAGAATCTTTTTTATCATGTTCGATTCAGGGGCCCGGGCTACATGTCCTGCCTACTGCAGGCGGTTTCGCTTAATTATAGTGGTAATATCTTTACCACCAAACGTATGCTTGTAGATATTCTGCAGTTCGAAGTTATATCTACGCCTCCATATTCCGTTCTCACAGACCGTTCCAAATATCTTGCGAAGCACCTTTCTTTCAAAAATGGATAGAGCGGATTCATCTGTTTTCGTTAGCGTCCATGTCTTTGATCCGTATGTGAGAACGGGGACTATCAGTGTTCTATACAGCCTTATACGAGTTTTTTGACACAGACGTTTGTTAGCTAGGTACTTTGATAGACCATAATAACACCTGTTTGCAATTATTATTCGCCTTTTTATTTCCTCAGATGTATTATTATAAGTTATATATATGCTCAGGGCCAAATTGACACGTCTTTATAACATCAGTGTAATTATTGAAAAATTGCAAGAATGATTTTATTAGTTACTAGTTGCTTTAGTGTCCTCCTCTGTGGAGTAGAAAGCTGGAGCCTTATAGAAAATGACATTAGACA